AATAGCTCAGTTTAGCCTACTTCTACTCTGAGCATTTGGAAAAATTTCCAGAAAATTGATCCATTTCCCCACCCAAATTGCCATTTATTTTTGGGGCAAAATGGGCATTTCTTGTAGTGAAAGTGCATGGAAAATCAAGTGAGTAATCTTCTCCTGTTTTGCTATGGTACAACAAGGTTGAAAATTTGATGTTTCCCTCTAATGATGGTTTATAAATCAATTCAGAATCAAGATTCCCTCATGAAATGTGAAGTTTGTGGTTTGCACGGTCTAAAAACAGAAAATGATAAATGTACAAGTTGCAAAAAATATAAGGTTAGCAAGCTTCTCAAATTATTGACCAAAAAATGAATAGTAAACTTACATACCTCATATCATCCAGTCAAGTGGGAGCTTACAGTTTATGTTTGATTGTGAGAACAAATGGTGCTCTAAAAAAGGAAGCCCTTTGAGATGGACGCGTGGGACAACAATTTATCATTGTCCAACATGTTTCCACAGTGTTGATGTGGAACGTTGGTTATGAGCTGCCAACAGTAACTAGTCAAATAAGCTGGTGTAGCTCATCACAAAGATTTTGCCAGCATTATTTTAGAGCATATTTTGTGTTGATTTTTGGTTGAAAATTTCAACTTTTCTTCCTAAAATTGGAAATTCAGATAGCTCTCACCCTTGAAGTTGAATTTTTGAATCACTGGAAAAATACTGAAAAGATAAGGATCACTGTAATTTTACAAGACATATGGTTTGCAAATCAGATGGTTTTCAAAATTCCATTTTTATGGGGGTAATGTATAATATTACAATCCATCACCCAATTATATGGGTTGCAAGAAAAAAGGGTTGCACAAAAGGGCCTTATAATTTCAAACAAAGCCCATGTAGTAGTTTTTTGAGGCTCATATGTGATATGTTGCAAACCTTATGTCCTGCAAACAATATGATTGGTAATAGTATATTTTTGCCTTATTTCAAGGAATTCTGCAACCATTAGTTTGCAACCTATTAATGAGTTGTAACTTATGTGTTGCCAAATTTCAAAGGATGGTATGTAAAATTGAATTTTACAAACCATATTTTGCAACCTTTTTGCCTTCCTTCAAGGAAATTTGCAACCATTAGTGTGCCATTAATGAGTTGTGATTTATGTGTTGCAAAATTGCAACAGATAGTATGTAAAATTGAATTTTGAAAACTCAAAAAAATCAATAAAAGAAAGACACAGCCTTCACAAAAATAAACACAAAAATCAAAGGAAATCAAAAGAATAGAAAGACACAGCCTCCATTCTTCATTTGCCTTCCCAACACCTGTGCATTGTGGAAAGTCACACTCCAGTATGACACCCCACCTTGCACTGGTCTGGGAAAAAGAGGGGGGAGGATGGGGTTCCTTGGGCCCTGTGGAATCTCCCCCTCTAGCCGGAAAAGGCGTGTAGAAGATATGAATTTTCAATGTGCTTAAAAAAGGGTGAAATGCTCGAACACAAAGGTTTCCTAAAAGCACAAAGAATGGGTGGGTGGGAGGTCTGAAAAATACTAAGATGCTGTACTTGAATGCGAGTGGAAAGTGCTGGCTTCTGACCCTCAGGAAGCGGTCAGACAATGGCTCCTTCATGTGTCTGTGCGCAAAAGGTCTGACTGCCGGACTAGGCTAGTTGGCTAGGGGCATGGACGGTGGTGACACCGCTCTGCTCTTGTCACCTGCCATCAAAAAAAAAAAAAAAAAAAAGAAAAGAAAAGAAATCAAAAGAAAAAAGAGAAAGACACCCTCAACAAAAACAAATGGGGAAAAAAGAGAAAGACACAGCCTCAACAAAATCAAAAAGGAATTCAAAAAAATGGAGAAAGACAAATCCTGAGCAAAAACAAAAAGAAAAAAGACACAGCATCAAAAAGAATAAAAGGATTGAAGAAGTTTCTTTTCCTTTGACTTTCAATGGTACAATTGAATTTTTTGGAGCATTGACTGTAGTTGTCATGGGTGATTGTTCTCTGGCCTGGGGTTTAGCTGTAGTTGGAGGAGTTGATTTATCTTTGTCTTTGGCCTTGTGGACAATTAAATTCAAACTGTTTGATGTAGTCAAGATTGACTTTATCTGCTTGAAAGGGAAATTGCCAGATGCACCTGGACTTTCTTCAACTATCTTTTGAATCTCCTTCCCGACATACTCTTCCTCCCAAGGTGTCCAATTGCACAGATAAAGGAGCCAGATCATGTTTTCTTTGAC